GACTACCGTGTGTAGCAGCGATGCTCACCGGCTTAGAGACCTTCTTCACAATATCCTCCTGCTGCGTTCCAAACTCTAAAAAATCGGTGTAGGGATCACCAGCGACATCAAACTGGAAATCGGGGTCCAGGTGGGCGGCATCATCCACTTGCTGCTTCTTACTGCTTCTGCGTTGAGGTGGTGATTCATCGTCAGATTCGATGGTCATTACGAAGTCCATGACTAGATATAATGTAGTGCGACCAACCGACAGAGTCCAAACGAGTTTCAGCGGGCTATCAAGTTCCTCAGAGAACGATATTAAGAGCAGTTGTGTTATGAAGATCTGGCCTACCGTTAGTGTAACGCACTAAAAATGTCACGTGCTCGATCCAAAATTTTCAAGAGAAGTTTGACTGCAGAGCATTACACATATCAATTGGTCATAGGTGCAACACATTCTTCGACTGGTTCGATGGATGCTAAGATTTACTACTGTGCCTATGGGATGAGTGTGAAGTAGCGACGTAACTTGAACATGAAAGGGTACATTTGCCGAATAACAACAAATATGATACGTACAAGGACGGGGTATCAAACAAATGGGATCTCTGAGAGCGACAGATGAATAGAACCAAACTGCAGATACATAAAGGAAAATCCTGATACATGCTGGGGGCTGTCTTCACCGTTGCAGTATTCTGCGAAGAATTGTTGTGTCTCTCTGGGAGGATGTTGAATGTTCGCGTGACATTGTTCGAGGCAGCGTGGAGCGGAAGGGTTCTTCAACTAAATCTGAGTCTGGGAGAGGTGCCATTCGAGATGTTTGCATCTACGTAGGGTCAATTAAGGGAAGGTAAGAGTTTTCGAACCAAGACGCACATCTTCCGACATGACATATTCGTTAAATATGACCTTCAGTATTCGATCTCGCGATGGTAAGCAATAATCCGGATTTGTTTGACACTGTATCTGGCAGTGGGTGGTGGTTTGAATAAACCGACCAAACATATTAAATTTTCCCCAATGAATTTTTGTAGGATCATCCAGATTGACATTGGGGTTTCCTTCGTGGGCACGGATCAGGTCGGACATATGGACCTCCCTAATAAGAGGTAAATATCAAGCTGTTTGTAATGAAAGTCACCGCACTTACAGCGCTGGTATACAAGCGCCTTTGGTGTTTTTGAGCGCCATGCGATAAGCCTGATGAGCTCCGCGATGTTGAAGAAGAACATCCCAAGACAAGAGATTCTTGTAGTGATCTGGAGTCTTGTTTTTGAAAATCTCCATGGTTTCATCGCCCTGGAAAGTGGAGCTATTGATTCCAGCGACGAAAGCACGCAGTGCTGAGTAATTGTTTAATGCGCGGAGTTCGTGCGCGATATCCACGAATCGCTCTATCTGCTTTGCGCGGTTCCTCGGTTTATCGTGACATAGTATGAGGGATACCACCCTGGAGAGACCATTAATTATCTTTATGATTGGCGCCACCCACCCACGGCGACTTACCAATCGGCAAGGTGATTGGAGATAGCATTGAATCGAGATATTGAGTCCAACTCAGGGTCTTTGCGTCCGGGCATGAGGGTATATTGCAACCAGTGCCGTGGCTGCAAAAAGGTCGTCATGATCACGGCAATCGCGGTAGTGATCAATGCTAACCTCGATATCCATGAATAACTTCGCTTCCACTCGCGTGATCTCCTCCGCGATCTCGGAGCAATCAAAGTTAGCCAGACTCTGGGCATTACTCCTTAGCTTGATCAGGAGATCCTTCGAAGACATGTCTTGAACATCTCCTTGGCCATGACTCGAATTCACTGGTATAAATATCTTTGCGCTAAGCGGCAAGCTTGACTTGCGTTCCCTGACGCTCGCTGCACTAGGGAGGTTGTCGTTCGAGCGAGCCACCGACGAACGGCTCGTAGAGGATGGTTCGGTCTCAACAACCAGTGGTTCCTCCTCTCCATCTGATATGCTATATGGATCCTCGCTCTCATCCACAGGATTTTCGGATTTGAGCGCCCAGGCCGCATCCGTATCTACGATGTTGGGAAGATGTGAGAGGAAAGGGAGGAAATCGGAACCGTAATGTAGGAGGTATGTCTTCCCGACGATTGACCTCACTAGGGCGTGCAAGGCGCCAGGGGCCCCCGGAACAGCGAAGTCTTGTGGATACGTCTGGATCCAGGTTTCAAGTAGATGGCATATTCTTCAAATCAACCGGCAAGTTAGGATGATGACTTTTCAGGTCGCAAGATTATGATACCTCATCTGTGCGTAGCTCGCAAACATCGGATCGCCAGTTGAATTGTCGAGTTGTCGCATTCGCTTCTGCATGGCCAACAGAATACTGCGAGGACTTGCAAATCTTCGATATGTAAGAAGGAAATGCGAGATAAATGTTGGATCTACAATCGATGCTGTGAATCATGTAGTGCCAACAGGTCAAAAAAGGGCAAGCCTACCATCACCGCTGACAGCAAGAAATAATAATTTATCAAGTAATTCCTCCAGGGTTGCGTATTGTCCTGAGCGACTAAGTAAATCAGAAAGTTAGCAGCGTTAATTCGAATAATTGCAGACGACCCACGGTTCCTTCTCCTTGCTCACAGGGTGATCAAAATGGCCGTTCTCAGTAACATTTAATGAAAGAGCTCTCCCAGAAATAAAGGAGCCGAACGACGAGGAATTTACGCTTGATGACCCAACAAAGCTTGTGACACTGCGAGCATTCGATAACTTTCGCTCAGACGACTCTCGTGACTTTGATATCTCATGGGTCGAGAGGAGATCTGGAGTTGACCGGGCGCGCGTTGGAGAGATGGCGATTGGCGGTGGAGATGATGGGAGTGTAGAAGTGGGTGAGTGTCGCAACGAGCCACCCTGGTCTTGGGACATGGTCTGCGTAGAAGCTGTAGAAGAAGAAACGGTGGATGTAGTTGATGATACTGATGCTCGGGCTTCCCAAGTAATCGGTGAGTGGCGAGCATCTGGTGATGCGGGATTTCGGAGATCAGCATCTGAAATGTCAACGACAGGGTTTAACACCACACTCATATACCACTCTGTAGACTCACGAGGACCTGGCAAAATAGATAACGTCAACCAATTGAACACTTTCTTTATCCTAGCCCTCTCTGCTTCTCCCAAGTGATCAACCTGCACTAGACCAACATGGTAGTTTTTCAACAGGTTCAAAGACTCCTGCGGATCGACAACGACGTCCAAGTCTGTCTTCAAGGCCACCGCTATGGTTGAAAGCTTCAACGGTTGTATCCGCCCTTTCAAAGATGATTGATAAAAAAAACGACGAAAATGAAAAATGCAACATACGAATGAACTCTTCCACAGGAGAAAATGAAGCCTTGTTGGCAGCATCATAACACACGACAACCCCGCTGACAGGTGGAAGATTTTCGGGCGAGACCTTTTCAATGTCTAACTCATAGATTACCATTGAAAAATCGCGTGGTACCGCCCGGTCAAAGCGACGTGTGTCTTGAGAGATTGCAGTCAGACAGAACAAGATGGGCAATGTATTGAATATGAACTTACAACGGAAAGGAGTGGGAGGAAAAGTTCCCGGCGACGCAAATAGTGTCTCAACATCCGATGCCCCGTGTGCTTTAGCATCCTCCGAGATGAATGTCGACTTGCCACAACCGGAAACCCCGACTACTGCGATGGCTATCTCTTTGGACAAAAACTGGGTACGCAACATCAGAAATTGAGCTCAATGGGTGTGGCGAGTGCTCACAGAGGGCTGAAGGGTATCAATCGATAGATCTCTACCTGAAGCGGTGGTGGTTGGCAAGCCAAGGCTGTCACTCCTTGCGCGCCCTGACGTAAGATTGGCCAGCGCAGGATTACATACAGGCAGTGAACTAAGCGATGTTGTTGAATGCAAGCGGCGGGTATCGTCAATAACCTGAACCGGCATGCGTGGAGGGAGATTGAGATCGCCTGGACGGGGAGCTGTTCGAAGGTGATCTTTGCCCTTCACAGAGCCCCGTCTGCCTTCACTTGGTCGCTTCCGCCGCTGAAAAATCTCGGCCTCCCGCTCGTGCTCTATTCCGGAAACATGACTCCGACTCATCGTACTCACACTCGCACCGCGACTGCGAATAGACGGTTGAGAAAGAGTGGGCTCGCTGTGCAATAGACCGTCCTGTTTATGTGTCCTAGATGCCTCGAAAGTGGAGTGAGTGGTGCCTCTATTCGCTCGTGAACCGCTTGTTTTCTGTGACGTTTCCCTATCGTAAACAACAAATGAGTCAACAGAGACTGATTTGCGCAAGGATTGGGACGAAGGGTCGGTTGAAGTCGAGAATGAAAATCCAGAGCAGCCTGTATCGAAAGGAGTGTTACGAGGAACAACAAGAGTAGATGAAGTAGAGGAAAAAGAAGCCTTGGGGGATGTGGACGATGTAGACACAGGTGCAATTGGATCATGTCCCAGGTCAAGGTAAGTATTTTTATCGGTGTCGCCGGGCATCTGAATTGGAGGGAGGGATGGTATGGCAGGTAAACAATGGCTTGTGTTCGTCATTGGCGTAGTCATGTCTGGTAGTCGTCGAGAGGTATGGAATCACCAGCGAACTAGTGAATCATGAACACAGCGGCTCGAGCAAGCCTCAGTAGAGAGTAGAGCCAACGTCTAAGTGGAAATAACAATGGCTCAGCCTAGCCTTGAGCCTAGCCCTTGAAGAATCAGCCTCGATTAAAGGTGTCGCCTGGTATCGCTGTGGCCGACGTCGAAGAAGGGCTGGCAGGAGCAGAAGCGAAAACGAAGAGACAGAAGAAGTTGCGTGGTTCAAGATGGTGGACAGTTTTTAATTATGGGAATCGATGATCTTACACACAAGCGCTCATCACCATCGCCGTCGCTGGTGACAACATTGTAGGGTCATTCATTACCATTCCTCTGATATACTAGCTAATGTCTCCCAGAGTTTTACTCGTCGTAAGTATTTATCCTTCCTTTTCAAGATCCTTCACTAACTATATCCTATGTCATGCCAAAGAATGATGACGGCCCTCCAGGTCCCCAATCTCCATACATCTATGGCCTTTATCGACACCTCACTACAAATCTCAGTAAGCTTTCAGTGAACCCTGCATGCATGAAGATGCTTGTGTTTAACATGCAACCAGGATGGGATGTGAAGGTAGTCGTGCCAAGCTCCCAGAAATCGTGGATTGGCGAGTCTAAACAGTCCTGTCCGAGCTCTCGTGCTGACGCACCGCTTGCAGGGAACGCGTTTCACATTCAGGAAATCACGAGAGGAAGATATTACTACCCGAAGGAACCCGGTGAGTGTACTAGTATGTGACGAGAAATACACCGTACTTAATTGAGAGTCTGTTGAAGACGGAATGGGAGAGGTATCGTCAGCTTCGCGTCCTTTAAGTGAGGGTGAAGTTGCCGAGTGGGTACTGCTGGATGGTGTATGTAAGATTTCTATTCTTGTTGCGAGCTTATGGCGTATGCTCCGTAGACCCCCGCGACCTGTACCAACATTGCGCTTCATAACCTTTATCCCGGAACAATCGACCTTGTGGTCAGTACCCTTCAGCTGCTCCTTGTGATAACTCTCGAAGTCTGATTCAAATTGGTATGTAAGATCTCGGGACCAAACCTCGGCAGAAATTCCTCTGGTCTGTGTGTTCTCTTCGTTATGTTTGAACATTCCATGAACAAATCATGATTACCAGCTGCTTTAGCCATGTCTTCTGGAACCATCGGTGCCGCAATGTCGTCAGCGCTATCTCAGATCCGTTCCGTCGCGATTTCATACGGCACTGTTCTCCATACCACCCCAAACGAACTTTTTGGACCCGCAAATATCCTTTCGGGGCAGATCATCCAATACCTATGGAACAATTGGGGTAAAGACGTTGGTGGAATACGCAACGGAGAAATCGACATGTATAACGTGAATGTTCCCATGATAATGGAACTGCTTAACCCCGAGGGCATAGATGTCCATTGGACGCACATGTGGCGTAACTCATACGGGCGCCTTTTTAAAGCAATATCGGATCCTGGAGCTACGAGCACGACGAGGGACGTCCCCAACAAGGGCCAGGACGTGGCGAGACAGTATCCTGCACAACAACGTGAACCCGGAGGCGATGTAGAAGGCGATGTATCGAGAGATGAACCTGCAACGCTAGTGTTTAAATTCTCCCCTGACTTCCAACCCCTTATCACACCTTCGCTCGGTTCCCTCCCAGTTGGCTCGGATGGTTGGGCCATCGCTAAAGGCCACGCGAGCATTACCCCACTACGGGCATGTTTTGCACATGTAGATCATGACCCTGCGGCAATAGGGCCAGAATCTCTCAGGATCTTGAAACTTTAGAGTACCTGCAGCCCTTCGATATCACTCATATAATCAATGCAAGCGAATTATGAGGCAAATGTTAAGGGTGCAAGATCTATTAACATGGCCTCGTGGTGTCACTAGTATGTTCCTCTGATCGTCCACAGTAGCTCGTCATATCATAATTTGCCATGCCTCTGCTTGGACAGCCAGCATCTCAAAGCGAGACAAGCAAGTGTAAGAATATCACTGTAGAGATAATCCAACAAGTCTTCAGGTTCATGATTGGATGTGTTCGGGTTGCGCTCGACGTGCTGACAATGTCCAACCAAGACTGCTTGTAGACACTGAGTGAGTTGATGATCCAAGAGGCGTTCTATGGGATCACTTGAGAAAAATTAATGCAAGAAATCAATAGAATCTCACAACAAAATTAGCCGGATCCATCAGTATGTCCTCGCAGGTGCCAGGACAACCTGATGTAGCGTAAGAGTTGCCGGCCCAGTCACCTGGTTAGTCTTGATAAATTGCTTCAAAATGCACTTGAGTAATGAAGCCTCACCACAAAACGTGATGTCTGCATTGTTGGTGAGCAATGAGGATCTGAATTTCATCAAAATACTCACCAAATACAATCGAGTGATTTGCAAAGTAGTGAGTGATATTACACGACTGGGTGGACAATGCAGCAACAGGTTCACCCCAATTAGATGGATTTGGTCGTCCCTGTGTAATGTCTAGTGGAACAGTTGCCCGGTAAAATGACCCTGTGGGTGAAACAGTCTAGAGTCTCACGGTGCTAGAGGTTCACGAACTTACAAACTGCGATGCCGTTTTCGTCCCAATTCATAGCAAAGACACCGCCATTAGCTTCATCAAAATATGGGCCATATGAAGCCTGACTCCATTCTGTCACACCACACCCTGCGTTGTTATTGATGAACGCATTGCATTGAAGGTTATCCGTGCCATTCGTTTGCTTCGACAATTAGCCCACCACCTCGTTCATGCTAAGATAAGACATACCACAATCGTCCCAGTGAAGTTGGTATTCTGGGTTAAGTTGCAACCTGAGAATTACGTGAGTTACGGAACAAGTAGCTAGTAATTCGCTTACCAGGAGCTGTATGCCAGGTGACTTGGTTGTGTTCGTTGTCGTGTACACCCTCGATGATGTCTATTTCACCGTTCTTTAATAGAGATTATTGAGTGAAAATGCAAGGTATTTCGAGCTTACGTATGGCCATGTCCCACTCCCAAGCGTCCTAGCTACATCGTCAGACTCATCATCCAACCTTTGCGTGGTATTACTTGCCAGAATGCAGGCCAAACACCTTGATCAAAATAGTTAAATGACATCAGTACACTGAAAGAAAGCTGCCCCACCGCAACCCCATGGAGCCATGTCTAGATCCAGTATAAAGAGACCCATATTGTACTCAGCCTGACTTGCTATGCGGACACTAAGAGGTTAAATTAATCTCGGTGCACTCAGCGCACTGGAGTTTTTTTACCTGTTTCTGTTGACCCCATATGCTAGCTGAGTTGTATTATCGCCCCGCATGATGACCTTGTTGTCGGAGGTTATTGATGCTAAGCCGTCGTTGAATGCCGTCTGTTGGTCAACAAAACTATTTCAAATTGTAAGAATGAAAGAATCCCGTGCAACGAATAGACACGCACGTCACCAAACCACTAAACAATTATCATTGGGTGTTAAGTACTCTGAAAATTGGATGGAAAAGCAAACATTACTTTGTGGGATCTGCACCAGTGTAGAAGTTAAATGTACTGCAGCCCATCAGTTACCAGTGGCGATCGGGCGATCTGGACGACACACTTACTCGAAAAAAGTACTACCCTCATAGGTATCTTGAATAACCCACAGTATAGTAGATCCATTGGGAGCGGTTTCTCTCTTCGTCGGTAATGTGATCTTTGGCCATTCAAAGCTGCCCAGTAACTCAACTCCGGCCTTCCAATCAATGTTACTGGGAATGCTTGGAAAGGCCGTGGTCTTCGAAAGATATCCGCATAATAGGCAAATAATTGCATGTCGAAGTTGCAGCATGCTCGGAAGGGGGAATGTAATTCAAAGAAAATGAACTGGGATTTATGGTGCGGTAACTAGACCGTCCAAACACAATAACATTGGAAGTTGCCATTAGCGTAGCTCTAATAAATTTGTAGATGTGACGGCCGAAATGAATTACCGCAGTTGTGCAGTAAGGCTCTCACAGTATCATCATGGTGGCCACGAGGCGAATGTGACTAAAAAATTGTTCCGCAATCACAATAAACGCATGTATGACCCGTCTGACATTCCGTGAGAATTGGTGAGATGCCGGCTTGCCATTGCTGTGCTTATTGTGGAGCCTAAAAGTTCCTTTACAAAATGTAAGAGCACATGATAACTTTTTGGTGAAACTTCATGGTCATACAAAGCATAGCAAGTATGAAGTAACATAATGGAAGAACAACAGAAAATATGCAGGTAAATCATCGGTAACGACGAAGAGACAGTGTGTTGTGCTTCTTCCAGGTTGAACGAGCAGGAGCGTGGTTGTGACGGTGGCCCTTGCCCAATCCCCTGTTCTGCAACAAAATATCAGAAAAAATCCTGAGGGACATGGATAATGAACAAACCTGCTTCCCAACGCTGGTGAGACCACGAGCTTCGCGGCGTTTGTGCACTGGCTTGGTAATCCAGTTGATACGGGGATCCCGGCGAATCTACACCATAATGTGTCCTCGTAAACATAACAAGCAGAGGAAACCTCGGGCTTACAGCTTTGTGGTTAGGATCCACAAGAATGACTTCGAAATACTTGTAAACGCCGTCCTGGTTTACCCAGTATGAGTTCAGAACTCGCAGGTTTCCACAACGCCTTCCAACACGTTCCTCGGCGGTACTCCTGAGACTGCGCTGGGGCTTCAAGTGGTTGACACCCTGACGGACAGGCTTGCCATTGGTGGCACCTAAAAGATAAATTCAGATTATATCGAAAGGCACGCTGGTCAGGAGCCTACCCTTTGGAACTGGCTTTTTGCGGTTACCGCGACGGACACGAATACGGTAGATGACGTAGCCCTGCTTGGCCTTGTATCCCAACCGACGAGCCTTGTCAGGACGAGAAGGACGAGATGCACGATGAACGACTTTCAATTGGCGGTACTCCCAGCATCTAGAGTACGAAATCAGCAACTTTCATCGTTAGTATGTCACAAGTATCAGGACTCACCGAACACGGAGAAGAAAACGCAGCACATCGGACTGCTTTTTTCTGTACAACTCGCTGATGTATTTGTATGCGCCCATGTTGCAGGCTGCAATGCAAGATGGTTAGTGACTCGGCAGATCAACATACATCCAATCAAGACGAAAGCATCCATCGATTTCCATTTAGATTTCTCCAAACTAGAGTTTCTGACCGCAACGTAGACCCTTTGTAGCATAGCTGCATACGATAACGATACGGAAACATACCTCTTGAGGGTCTTGACTCTGGTACGACTACAACGTCTTGTTTGACGACTGGAGGAGGGTTCTCGGCTATTGCCGTTGTGCATCGGATTATGCCAGCAGCCTGCCTCATTTAGGCATCGTACTTAGCGACCCATGCGATTCCTTGTTTCCTCATGTGCATCTTGTTGTTGTTAATATTGTTGTATTACTCCAACCTGTATCGAGGTTGTTCAGCAACCTGTTGATATATAATGTTTGCTATCCTCAAGGAGCAATGCCAACATTCCCCCCACGTATATTCGCTGCGAGGTCAATATGGCTTACAGAGCTACAGACGACTTGCAAGGCTACCTTAAGGACGCTGTTCTACCCCGGCTGAAGCTCATGCACAAACGAGAGTTGGTGTCTCACCAAGGGTACAAGAGCCGTAGAATCACACTTACAGTTCGCCGACGACGTCGCAACCTTGCTAACATAGTTTTCCTGGATTCCACGTTTGATGAACTTGTTAATAATTGTATGCTTGCTGTTGACACCAAGCTTCGCGAGCTAATGTACTATCTGCAGGGATCGAGGAGCATGTGCCAAATCGCTCGCTCTGTCTGTACGATGAGGACCGGAAAACAGGCGAACGGTTTACAGTACGCTCTTCGCATAGATTCAATGTTCCGGAACTCTTGCTTCCTGCAGCCTCGGATATCAATCGGTATGTAAATAATTACCTGAAACACGAGGTTATTTAACCTTGTTATCATCAGAGTGTGTGATTGGTTGGACAATTTCCCCCTCCAAACAGTTCAACGAGTTTTTCATATCATGTTTCCTGCAACGAAAGATTGGGGGTTTGCGATGCTTGATGATCACGGCTGCGATGAGGAAAATTTCAAGACATTTCACTGGACGGATGTCAACCAAGATCACCCTGATATACATGATTTGTCTGTAGTTGTCGCCTGCCAACCTCCTTGGATAATGTCCGACGAATTCATGCGGCAATTCACTCAGCTCAGATCGGTACGTACTTAGAACCCTTGAGCCGTGAATACGGAACATATTTGGTAGCTTCCTGAAGGTACTAAGCGCCCATTACGTGGAAAGGAGCGTCTTTGGGGGAAGGTAAGTGCACATAATGCACATTTCCCAGACTCTAAGGAGATCCTTTAGTTATGGGACACCTGCGCTCATAATCAAACCCCCTTTTTCATTCTGACTTCGTACCAGCAATGGGCTTTTGGTATGTTTTCACGCGGTAAGATTTTCCGTCAAGCCAGATCAGGGAAAGAAAAATTTCATAACTTTACAGGTTGGACAACAGCGTTCGTTTCCCCCGTTATAGACGCACAATCACGTTCTCCGACCGTTATGCATGCGTTGCTATATTGGCTCGGCTCGGCTCTCCGTGCCCCTGGTGGTTTTGTACAACCGGTGGAGGTTGGCGTTGAATATCATCATTAGAAATGACTGAGCTAAACCATTCAACAGGTCGCGGAACCTGTTCACAATATCCTCTCAGATGATGAATCCGAGCTACCGATCGCTAAACCGGAAAAAGTGCCGGAAATCGCTCCCTCCTTATCGAACTGGAGCGGCACGAGTGATGGTGAGATATATGATACATTGTGTCTTCATCGGTTGGACTGACATATTGAGCAGAACCGGCGTCCTCGGCTGGAGCTGCAGGCGCGGTAGCGCTTGATGTTTCGGACAGGGGAGTGGACGATCCATATGGTCCAGATGTTCTCTACAAAAAGTCGAAGGATCCGGCCCTCACCTGGGAAATGATAGAGTCATGGAGGAAAAAATTACCCGCCAAGCGTACCGAAAATGAGAGTTTCCCATCTCCAACTTTCGCAACGACCGTCACACTACTTCCTGATCTTCTTGATGACTCTGCGACATCAGACACTTCGGATGAAACTGTCGGGGTGCCTTGTGGACACTGGTTAATGAGTGCGCGTAGATAGTGGCTCATGACGCTGAAAGTCCTGATAACAAAGTATCTAAACACTAGTCACGTGGACTATTATAAATCTCTTTCTTGTCCCGACCGGAGCCTCAGCCACGCAGTGCTCAAAAACAGTATCCAAGCGCTGCCAATAATCACGGCGCAAAGACACACAAAAATACGACCCCTCCTTATCTCAGAGTGTCGATAAACCCCTTGAGGAGGACAAGAAGAGGGGAAACAACTGGCCCCAGAATCTGCTCTGTGCCGGCGACCAAGTAGAGGCTTTCTTGGATCTTGAGAACACAACGGTCCGATTTCTGAAGCCAGGATATCTCCTTCGCCCCCGGTGAAGGTTGACTCTTCTGATTCACGTTCGGCATCTTCTTCATCCCCGACTGTGTTCTCAATAGTCTCTGCTGCCTGCCTCCGCCGACTATCAAGATGCGATAGACCGATGATGCCCAGTAGTTGCAAAACATTGAAAGCGAAAAACACGTTCAACAACTGCTGAGTTGTGCACTGGCCGCCTTTTTTGACTCGTTGATCACCGTCCAAAACAAGGCCAGCTATGGTTTGGAAAATTGTTGCGCCTGTTTGTTCCATCTGAAACATCAAGCTCATAGCTCAGATAAGGACACTGGACTGAATAAACGATTTACGCTTTTGTGCACACCGAGAGTAGTTGATACAAACTTGAACGGGACCAGCTGAGGGACCAAGACCACAAGGAGTACTAAAACATGTCGAATGAATGATGATTAAATAGTGCAATACTGACTCACAAGGGGAGAAGCCAATGCCAATCGCGAAGGCGGCAACTGCAGGGGAAGGTGTTCCCGTCCACGCTGGTGGAAGAACAAGCCATGCATATCCAAACAACGTCAATACAGATGACAGCGTGAACATGCGAAGTACAGCTTGCGGGTGCTTCATCCGATCTACCATGAATCCGGTCTGACTTGGTGTTGGTCAAGGTTATGGAGCAATACGAATGCACTTACGACGGGATACAAGAGTATGCTCCCAACCAGAAGGTAGGAAGCTTGTGTACTGGCAGTGTGCTCCGTCAATCCATATCTCTTTTCAAAAATGTTGCTAAAGGTCGCACAAAGAACGTCATGAGTCACGAAAGATATCCTGATATGCAGACTCACGCTGCCAAATGGGTGAAAGGGGCCCATATAGTGCCACAGAGGATGTTTAGCCCTATATAACTGCGAAAGGTCAGCACAAGTCGTGGGTTCTAGTTTTGTCACGCACGCCCAGAAGATATCTCCAAGCTTTGGAATATCTTTGAACCTGATGTGGCGTTTTTTTGCAACTTTTTCCAGTGCCTGCGCCTCGGAGAGATCGTACAGGGAGCGGCGCCTCGCCTCACTTCGTATCTCGGAAGCCTCTAGTAAGACGGTGCCGGAACCCCGTATAAGCCACTTCGAGGATGCCATGTAGACCAGGTTGATGAGAAGGGAAAGAGCAGCTAGGAATGTGGACGCGTAGAACGGTGCGTGGCGCCCAAAACGCTCCGCAAGAGGGAGGGAAGTTCGCGCTGAAATAAATGACGCCAATTTGCCGGCTACAAGACCCAGTGCCATTGAGACACCGAGCCCGTGTGATTTAAAGAATCGCACGATAATGGACTCCTGCACAACAGCAAGAGGACTAACTCCAAATCCGAACACGAACAATCCAAATACCATCAACCGAACGTCTCCTTTTATGTCGCCAACCAGTAGTAAAACCTGGCCTAGAAAGGGATGGGAAAGTGCGTAGCATGAACAAATACTACTTACCAATAAATATGACACCAGTAGCAATGATACTAGTGAGCGTTGTACCAAGTTTACTCGCCATCAGGCCCCCGACTAGAGGTGTCCATGTACTGTTTAAACTGAATGCAGAAATCAACAGACTAAATTCCGTGTTGGATGTGTTAATCTCTCGCGCAAGTCGAGATTTCAGTGGCCCTAGTGTATATGACGCGCTGTTAAATGGGGAACAGTAAATGGTGGATGGAATGGAAGAATGGAAGAAAAACGCACTAGTGACTACCGACGCTGAGAGAACATGCGCACAGTAAAGCCAACATCCGAACAATGGACGCCCTCGTTGGAGAGATAGCATCCCCCCTCCCTACAAGTTCCTCATCACGCTGCCTGGTGGAGGTAGAGTTTATATGTGGTTCTGTGTAGCTACGACTTGGAATCGAGATGTAAAGTTCTCTGCTTTGAGGTCGCTGGGTCATTTTGTGAAAGTTGTACGTTAGATCGCCGACGCTCTTATCTGATAAGCTTGGATGACGTAACCTTAACTCTGACTCCACAACTATCGTCCCTAAAACGGTTGTTCCCTGACCTGGATTTGAGTTTCTGATTTGCAAGTATCGGTCTCAACACGTATGAAGTTAACGCACACGTCTGGATCAGACCAAAGCTACGGAAAGGACCTGGATTGTTTGTAGTCTGTGAGCTCCATGGTGTGGCCAACGCATAGCTTATCCATATATGATCGTGGATGTACTTTAACGTAACCGAAAATTTTATCAATCGCTTAGACTGACTCGATAACTTATGAGCATACCAGACGTATTAGTAGCCCGGGCATAAATCCCGATTAACACCACACCGCACACTATTTCGAGCTACCTCCAAAACCCACTTCCTGCTTTACAACCAATCTCCTAGACATAAAAGCTCGAGTTCTGGTAAGGGCGGCACCGATCATCAACCTGTCACATCCCCGGCTTATACTCTGCACTCACATATCCTCGCTTGCTCGTTCGTACCCACATGCATGTCGCAAAGAGTGTGAGGACGCAGAGTACAAATAGTACCCAGCCGACTGCTTCGACTGTTAGCGTTTCTCGACAGCTGGATACACTCAGCTCCTGTGGCGAATCGCATGGCAAGACCCCGTTAACGGATGGGGAGCTATTGAGTATCCAATTACAGTTGCCCCCAGTCCGCGTGTTATGCATCATGCCAGCTGCAGCGCCCTGTCCACCCGGATTAAACTGTGGGTGTTTTATACCATAAGATGTCTTACCCAAAGTGCCGAAGTGATAGCAAGCCAGATGATGGAACTTGCTATGCTGGCAAGAAAGTGCACAGCACCATCAACAATCCACAGCATATAAGCTGCCCCGAATAACGTGGTCCACACGGCGTTGAATTCGAAGAGTATTAAGCTGAATGCATCCTACGTTAGCAGGACTCCCTTTCAAGGTAGAAAACAGACTTACAGTGAATGATAACGAGCGCTAGGCCAATTACGACTCTGATTTCCAACGCTGATAAGGTATGCAGTGAGACCCAGCTCAGCCATAGCACACATAGTGATGAGGATGAAAAGGAAAGGGTGGTAATGGGCTTTGATGTAAGGCATCGTTCAACGGTGTCAAAAAAAAAAGAGAGTCAAAGCTTCTAGATAGCAAAATACGGGTTGGAAGTGAGAAGGGCAGACCAAACTAATAGTGGCCACCCTGAACCTTTGCGCGCGTTCCATTCGTGGCCCCCACGCAGCTGCGAGACATGCGAAGAACACGAGGGCGACTATTGCCGGATGTGTTCAAATACCACACATCTTATTCGGGTAGGCTCTGGATGAAAACGTGTCTGCAGCAAGTTAATTGTAACACGGAAAGAAATCTCACCGATACGCCGACGGCAACTTTAATTACGTAGGATCGGATGCTGTTTCGAACACTAAATGGTCTCCGCTCTTTTCACCAAAGAACATTTCATCTGGTCTACATATCAGCTACCTTGTATAACGGCAATTTAAACTCGCGGGACATATAAAAACGGACTACCGAGATCATGGAGATTCCTTGAAAGCGAGATCGATTACATCTTAAGTGCCAATTTTGCTAGGTTCAAAGCGCCTTCTTTCGTCTTGTTCCCTGAAACAAATACCAGAGATCAGCTCCGATGCAGCTGCACCACTGATGCTTCACCTACCTCCAATAAACCCTGATGCGTGCACGAATATGCATCCGTCGACACCGCTTACTTTTGACAGCTCATCATCACGCACGCCTCTCCACTTCTCGGGAAGCGCCTTTCGACTGTCAAAGCTCTCAGGAGAGACAGGGACTGCCTGAATACGCCAGTTTCCCCCAGTCTCGTCAGGGTATATCACATAAAATGGAAGTTCATCTTCGGAGACACCCTGTTCAGCCTCAAGTTCAAACAAATGCTCCTGTCAGATGTCAGAATCTAGTGAAAGGTCGTGATCGACAACAATATAACCTTCCATGGAGCAAATTGCTCAAATAATATGATCTTTCCGCTGGCATCGATATTCTGGCGCGATGAGAGCCCAGCCAATACCAAATCTCGTGCAGGCAACCATGCATTGGCATAGTAGTCAAGCCTGCCGAGGAACTCACCCCCAGCCAGCTGCGACGCTTTCAAGAACAGGGCCTAGACAGTTCAGCGAGGTGTGTCACAAGTAAAGACGCAGGCACTAACATCCACTTTCTCAGACTCTGTAGACTCATTCCAACGAGGATTAAGCCATCCAACTCTACTCGATAGATCGGTGCGGTTGCGGTATTTCGGTTGTTCTTGGGAAGAGTATTGCGAAATCCCATTGTCAATTGCATCCAGAGCCTCAATAAACTCCTGCAGATAGTTGGAAAGATGTGTTTTTCGCTGAGCGACTGCATACCTTGTACATTTTTAACCATAGCGTGTCAACTTTCTTGTCGCTCGGTTCCAGCCCTGCCGCATTAGCAACGACTTCCTTTCCAAAATGCCTTTATGAAGGTGTTAGGTACCTCCAGAAGAAAGCAAAAGTTCCATACTTGTAGATGAGACCTGCAGATGACAGTTTAGTGCTAAAGCCATGACCGAACACCTCCGTAAAACCACGTTGATGGTGATCGAATCGGCGTTTGCTTTCATCGTATATAGCTCCCACATCAACTACTATGTCACAACCATCGAGGACAGCTGGGTCCCTTGTACGTTTTAGGCCTTGATAATCACTTGTGAAGGTGAGCACTGATGAAAAATCTGACATACTCACTTGCATCTTTATAGGCGTCCGTCTGACGCAAAAGAAAGACTGCCAGTGCTTCATCACAATGGAAGGTGCCATTATGAGTGCCTATAGTCTATCCAGGCGCTGGAGATGAAGATACATCCTGCAAGTGATCGAACGAACCTTAACATCCATTCTCTGCTTTTTGGTAGCGGGCCCTGTTTGTGACATAACTGTCCTGCTACTCAGCTTGCGATCCAGGCGAAATAGGTAGGCCAAAGTAATGGTCGATGAACGTACGCTAGGGATGACCTTGTTTACCAAGGTCATAAAAGATGGGCAGTAGGTGCGAGTGAAGAACAAACACTCCGATCGATTAATATTGACGTGCTTACGCAAAATCAAGCGCTCGTCGAAATCTCGAATTCTTATTTAATTATCAGTGTGTTATCGAAGCAGCAGCCCTGCAGACTCAGTCAGAAGTGTGTACTTTGATAACTTGTTCGACCTGGCCCAAGTACTGATACGTAACTCGATTTCGGCACCATATAATCGTCCCATCTAGAATTAGTCAAAAGACCAGGTCATTACAGTATGCTAGTACTGTACTCGGTCCAAGACAGTCCAGATATAATAAAGTGTCAATGAACGGTAGGCATGCGAGGATATATGCGAAATATGCAAAAGTACAGTTCCATTAGCAAACCCTAAAAGCAAACTGGTTTGTCCATGTTCAATAAAGAGAGCTTGAAGAGAGCTAGACGGAATATCCTAAGTATGTTTGGCAGCCAGGGTCACGTCATACGGATATATAAACATACGAACAGTGTGCAGTGTTGAAACCGTTTTATCCTCTAAAGCAAAACCAATGCTCCTCCGGCGAGAAAGACGACAGCTCCGAGAATGTTTGTACTGCGCAAGGCCTGTGCGCCTGCAATATAGCCATCTGGAGGGCCGTATATTCCACCTGACGCTGATGCTCCTGGACTTGGGGCACCGTTGGGACCACCATCTGCTCCAGCAATGGTAGACGCTGCAGTGGGTAGATTGCTGGAGGCGATTGATGTGGTGGTCCCGTTGTTGGTACCGCTGGTTATTGCTGAAGAAGAGTTGCCAGAGGCAGAAACTGTAGCGGACGCTGTGGGAGCGGGAGTGATAGTGAAAACTGTGATCTGTGTTACTGTGCTAGTTTGGCGATTCGAGCCGAGAGTCTCTTCCACTGTGGTGGAAGTTGAGAGCTGAACACCACTCTGCGATGACTAACGCTGGGGTGAGCTTGACAGGGAAACGAGAAGTAACTAACTGCGAACCTGGGCAAGTGAGAGCAGAGGTAAAGCCAGAAGAAAAGAAAGTAGATACATCGCTAAAGGACGAGAGCGACGATGGTTGCGGGACGGTGAGAGAAAGAGACTGTGAGTAACACAAGACACTGTCTGACACAGGCAGTACCTGGGTGAGAAGGGGGGTCGAGGGGGGTCGTTTTTTATGTCCCTTGTTATAATGAGATCAAAAACAAAAAATGTGATTTCCATCTTACCATCGACCAACATCGATTCATTGATTGACCATCGACTATGTTCCCAATTCAATCGCATACCGTACACCTCGTTTTGCAATACATATCACCCCCCTCTGAGTTAACTCAACCCCTGCCACCTCATTTATTGTCTAGATCATTGCTTCAGCGACATCATTTCCTTCAGATCTCACCTGATAATCCTCTAGAGTATCTATGTTGGCCTGCTTCTCAAAGTGCCCGTGCTATCGAGCTTCTCAACATCTTCTCATCCCCTGGAGATCAGCCAGGCCAATATTACGTTCGGTACACCTCAGATTCAGAGCACACTTATGCTCATGTTCAGGTCGTATCTCATGAGCAGGGTGTCCGCCTCCTTTTTGAGTGGGATGACGAAGACGGATGGAAGTATCATGACACTCAGCTGATGCCTTTCCCACCCACTTCACGCTCTGCGTTACATCCACCAACAACTGCAGCGGAACAGGCGCGTGAACGTTTCCCCTCAGTGGCTCGTGGTTTGCTAGATGATGAAGATCGCTATTGGAACGCATACAATGCCCCGCTGCATGAATCATTTTCCGCTTTAGCACCTCGCAGTATATTTAAGGAAGGTTCGGCCGATGGAACAGAAGATGCTTATTGGGCACGGTATTCATCAGTACAAGGTGGTGTTTCTTTCTTTCCAAGCTTGGTATTTTTACCTTGCCTGACATCTTTTCTATCCTAGGATCTGCTGATTCCACGGTGCCCTCGCCCCTACCGAACCACCGGAAACTAGAAACTGCGCTTCCGACGTATTATACACAGCAAGAAGAAGCTATACCCATACCAGCTGATACTATACATTCTTTGCCGCTGCCCGACAGTAAGTTTGGGCCGCCATCGCCTACTGTATTGGCACATCTCCTTAATATTATCTCCCCACGCAAAGACATACACACGCACACGTCAAACGAACCATCGTCAACTTTCGACCGTGATAGCCCGTCACCACCCTCAACTTTGGATCATTCGGACCTTGAGACCCCCGTGTCTGGGAATCCCGGTCAATATGCCCACGTTGCTCAACCCGTGAAAATCACGTTAAATGACATGTCATATTCTAACGGGCGGCATGCAGGGAACGGACACGCAGACGAAGAGGACGACGAATTTTCTGTTGAAGAGGACAAGGCAGTGACTGAAAGTATAAAGGGCATATACTACCTGTGGAAGGCGAGGAAGTTGAACCAACCAGACGAAGAGAGCAGTGACGCATTCCTACGCATTGTCCAAGCGGCCGTAACTCAGCCATGTCCATGATTGTTGGTTTAGTATTCTTGAGCTACATGTTTACACGCCTTATTGACGGGTACATGATGTACATCATTGCACTACCTCTAGATCACACCTATAAGTGGTAAAAAGATTTATACAAGAACATGGTGCGTATTCAAAGCGGGCGTTTGAAGAAGGGCATAAATATCTATTATTCCGAAGACAATGCTGCACAAGCTTGGAGCAGTGAACCAAATTCAATCAGCCCAAGATTAATTTGTGCAAGGATTTGAGGATTATCGGAGCTAAAAGTAGGGAGAGGAGATGGAGTGGATGAAGTTGTAGTCGGTAGGGGAGCTGAAGTCATAGGTGTGGTTGTGGCTACGGGGGTGCTCGTAGTTGTGAGGGTGGATGTGGGTGTGGGAGTACTTGATGAGGTGGTAGTAGGTGGCGTCCAAGTACTAGTGGAAGACCGTTGGGTCGTCGTGGACGGCAGAAGCGTGGACGAGGTAGAAGCACTAGTGCCATAACTCCACGATCCAGACAATTCTCCAACGCTGGTTGGTGCGAAGAACTCAAAAAGACCCTGACTAAAGTCCAGTCCCCCGCAAGGACATCCAAGGCACTGTAGAATTGTGTCACTTGAATGCTCCGCAAAGCAGTAATTGGCAAAAAAAATACCTCGTCCACAATCTGGGCCTGCACCGACTTGTCATCCACGGTGATAGTTATCGTTTGGAAGCAATGGCTACCTCCAGCAAAATCCTTCGTTGTATTTAAGTTTTAGGTTATGCGGTCAGAAACCGGTAGAACTTACACATGAGCTCTGCGCAACGATCTGAATGAATGTGAAGTGATGATCAACAGTAACCAGAGGATAGAAAACATACATAGTCGCTAGGACCATTGAAACCTCCGCAAGCACCACTGGTTGTGCAATTAGTGAGGGTCTTTGATGGATTGCAGGTCTTACTTACTTGCCATCTTGAAAATAAGTAAATGTATCTCTCTTTGATATTTTCGTATCTCTCGACTGATTGACAGAGGTATCGAAAGCCCGGGGCTGGTCGTTACCACTTAGGGCGCGTACGTGTGCCAACCTGCGCGAGCGGTCATGTACGGACGACTGGACCCCACTATAGCCGATTACTTGGGAGGATAAAAACGAAAGAGCACACAAAGCGACAGACAGGTAATGAAAGGAGTGCATTTTATCAATGAATGTTTAGTTTATTACCGCAAAACACGAAAACATGAAGGTGGAAGAGAGTCAACGTTTCAACCTTGAAATTTCAAGACTAATCATTTTTTACTTATATAAAGTCACACACTATAGCGTTTCAAATTTCAGGAACCGACTTTTTTTTTTATCAATTCAGCATCAGCAAATGCTTGATGTAATACTAGCAAGTTGACGAGATAATGCAGGAGATAGTAAGTACAATATGATTTATCTACATCAGAAGTGAGCACGATATGGTCATTAGATGGTTGGGGTATATTCATTCATCAAATTCATCATCACCGCCATCGTTCACAGGGATAGCCTCTTGTCCTGGCATTCGCTAGTGTGAACCGCTATTAGGTGTGGACTGATGACCGGAAATGCAGAATACTTACGACGAACGCAAATTTGCATACGAGGAAACCCCCCTTATTGAGCCCTTTTTCAATCCACGCCTACGACATTAGTGATAAGGAAACAGTGGCTATCGACCAAGGAACACACCTTTTTGACAAGATACAGGCCATCATAGCGATACCTATTAATAGAGTTGCAATTAACGAAGAAGTTGGCGAAATATAAACGAAACAGACCCCTCTGACGGCGCGTACTTTGACCTGGCCTTCCCTTTGAAGCCCCGGATCACACGGACAGGTTTCAGAGTGTCAACAGATTTCTGTAAAGAATGGATCAACTAGAAATCAAGCGCCACCTTCCCTATTTACCTGGAGGGCTGCGTTGTTTCTATCCTCGAAAGTCTGATCACTGCTTTGAGGAGCCGTTCGAAGCTTTTCGAAGATTAGCCTGATCAAACTGATTGGTGATTATACCTACATTCTTGGGTGCTGTCTTTGTTCCCTTCAAATCCCTACCGCCTAAGAAAGGTGAGGACATCTCAGCTGCTCTACCACAACACACGTACCAGAACCGGTGAATGTGCTGGATCGCTGTGAGTCGTTGTTTCTTGCACGCTTATATCACGACTCACAATGCGTATCCTTCGTCTACATCATCATCATATCCTCCTGAAAGTGCGATCGAGTATGCACCATTTGGACCTGGTGCAATACCCGAGACCCAAGGGCTATAAGATTGATTAACTCGAGGGTGCCCATTCGAAAAGGAGAGGGGAAAGTCTTACGCATGGACAGACGCGGTTGAACAATCTTCTCTAGTACACCAAGTGAGCCGATATCCGTGCCAAGAATTACCAAGTCATCTTCACCTTGTTGCCCACCATGTCCCCACCTCTACGTCGGGTATGTGACCGTACATGTGACTACGCAAAATTACACAATTAGCTTGAAGAAAGGGAACAGGGCTACTGACGGGTCATATGTTCTCTTTGATTTTACCTGGCCAACTTTGACCTTTTGAGCCCGTTTGAATGTGATCGGTTCCGGGACCCCGCGGTCTTGTTCCTGCTTGTAATCGACTGTTTTACCAGCAAGACGAGAGCTTCTTCGCGCGCCCCCTGGTTCATTACTATCATCTGCTAAACGAGAAGCTTTCTTGGGCGGTTCCTCGAGCTCGTCGCTTTCGGGCGAGGGGGACTTCCGTTTCTTGGCTGCCACTTTTTTCCTTAAGTTCTCTTTCGGCTCAATTTTGGGTTTGAGGGGGTCGATACCCAGGCCATTAAGGATAGCTTTGTTGCGTGCAATGTTCTGCTCTCGCTCTTTTGCATAGGACATAGTGGTTGGTTAGTTGAACAGTGAAAGTGGGCGGAAGCGAATACGCTCATTGCAACTTGGAATAAAATCGTGTCACCCACGTGACCGCGTTTCATGCTATAGCTAAGCGACATGTATGTAATAGTATTAGATTTATAGACATACTACAATTCAGCGTAGCGGGATCTAGTAATCTACATATGGATCACCGAGTGCCTTGTGGCACAAAGGGTGATATGGTGGCGAAATTGCTGAGGTCAACTGGGCTCATCGGAGGAGTCGGAGTTCCATCTGTCTGCCCGCTGACGTTGCTGCTCTGGGCTCTAGATGGAGGTCGTCCACTTACGCTTATGCGTTCATTCAGCGGAATATGCATCTCTCCTACATATCACACATTGCGTCAATAGCGTAATTGATGGATGACACGAAGAGCTCACTCCCGATGAATTTGCATTTGCCTTGTTTCCTGTAGCCACATTTAGACCCTCTGGGGCAGTAGTGTCCAGAAGGGCAACTTTTGCCGAAAGGACAAGGTTGGTCTGGATGTGCAGAAGACTGAGATTTCCATCCATGGAGAACAACCAGGCGTGACGCACTCTTATTAAAGACGGGGCAAGGAGATTTCTTCGCATTGGCACGAAGCTCGGCGTAATTGTCTGCTGTAAGAAAGTAATCGTGGCCATAGGTGCACTTATCACCTTGCTTGCACACGGACAGATAGAAAAATGTGCAAGGTCGTGGAGTTTCTGTAAAAAAGATCGACATCATGCCCGATGAACAATGACGAACGACCTACGCTTGTTGAGTGGCTGGTCACAGCAAACAATCATTATTAACACGGAATGGTGTAAGCAACAAGGCCCTACCAGAGAAGGATCAAGATATCTGCAGAAGGGCGTGTTCGTAGAAATGACTGGACTCTGCGTTCCAACGAGGAAATTTTTGGGGTTTATCTTCTGTCTGTCATGTTCTTGGGGAGCGAACCCTGTTGGAGGCGTCGACCTCCTGTGTGTATAAGACGAGGGAAGTTTCTTTGTCATGAAGACACCTCCAATATCGAGGTGAGGCAAATCGAAGTGTTGAAGCTCAGCGGCGAGAGTCTTGTATCCACGGAGTAAGACAATTTTTTCCAGCAGGCCCTCGTTTTCAAGGGTACTTAATGTGGAAGTGTATCCATTATCGTGCCCACCTTTGAATCACGTCAGCATCAGCTGAACAAGAACTTGCCTTGAAGATTCACCTCCGAAGAATACACGTGAAGTCTGGGGAAAGCGGGTGAAAACACGAAGACATTCTACCGGGAAGTTAGAAGAAATCAGACGAAAACAAAGCATTATCACATCACCTTTAATCTTCGCATCTGCTGCTTCTTTTCCCCCACCCACATCCACGATAGAGAATAACGGTGAAGCTGAGTTGAAACCCAGCACAAATGCTTCAAATTCTGAAGCACTGCATATACCGTTGTTCACCAGCGTGTCCATCAAGCCGGTTTTATTGCAGTACACAGTCAGCCAAACTTGTCCACGCCCGGAAGATCCAGCGTCAACATCGACCATATAGTCTGTTAACCCTTTGGTTAGCAGCATAGCTGCTTGCCGGCCTCCTGTATGGCCTGACGCAAGTAAGTCTTGGGAGAAAATGTTGCCATCGCCATCAATGAGGCAGAGGAGAAGCGGGTTATCATCCTGCATACAACATCAAGTATTGAAGAATACATATTAGATGACCAACCCTTAATGAGCCAATGTTTTTCTCTAACTTGAGCATTTGTTTTTGTAGATTGCATTTTTCATCTTCGGCAGCCTTGAAAGCCAGCTTCCACACCGATAGTTCTCGTTCCAGTTCGTCGACCCGAATGCGTAGCGTTTGGTTGTCGGTGAGTGTAAGACGAAAGAGGCCTTTTGACAGATTAGTCTTCTCTGTCATGTAATAAAATGCCACGTACTTGACTGTTCTTCGACCAGGCGCTCCCTTAGCACGAAATTAGCATAAATAGGTTTCTGGGACAGTAGAAGTGGAAGGACCCAGGCTCTCACCATTTCTGAAGGTCATTTAAGGTCGCGCATTCTTCCATAGCGCTGGCTCTGGGAGTGCTGACTACCTTTTTTCGTCAATTGTCCTAAGAAGTCCAGTGCAAGATGCTGCGCAGCATGAGAGATGCGCAAAGCAAGTTCCGAATATTATGCCAAGGAACAGGCCTGCAGGTCAGACGACGTAAGAGGCGGAGCATCAAAATCCCTCCTCAGGCTTTATGTAAATGTCAGCCTGGTGGCGTCTCAATATATAACGTGTACAAGGTATAGGGTCCGCTACAGCATTTACGAAAATGTCCATGAATTAAATACAGAAGAGCAGTGAAAGACAGCATCTTGTTGCCAACAGAAAGAGCCATTCTATTTGATGCGTTTGAGCTATTGTTCGGAAATCAGACAAATGATATTGTGACGTGGAAAACATGGCAGCGCACCCTTTCAGTGTTCCTGAACACGTTGTTGTCCAAGGTAGTCGTCTTTTGTTCAATGGTAACAAGTCTCGAGTTTTGCTGATCGAGCTCCTGTCCCATAGCAGTACCCAGTGCCTTCAGGTTTTTGGTGATAGCCGAGATCTCATTCAAGTTGTCGTCCAATTCATCTTCCATCTCGTCATCAGAGGCACCCGCCTCAAATTGATATCTCTTCCGCTGCTCCTTTCTTGTGGCCAGCTGTTCCTCAGTGCGGAATCTGCCTGACCCTCCAGATGTTAGACTTTCTTCATCTTGACGGCCATATGTAGTAGCACGTCCCAAGCGGTTCTGGGTATCTCTGATGTCTTGCATAGCCTTCTCGCGATCTAGCCTTTCATCTTCATACCGCTGCTGAATTTTGTCTTCCTGAGCGGCGCGTTTTGCATCCTTGTTCCAAGTAATGACAGGGCGGAAGATCGAACGATTGAGCTGCTTCAGTTCACCGATCTGATCCTCGGCGCGCAAGGTGTGACCCTTTGAAACATCAAGATGACGCTCAGTGTTAGCGAGTTTCTCTGTCGTGAAACGATCAATGAGAATAAACTACGACTTCAGCCGGATCTCACCAGATTGATCCCCGAGCCTTCCGATGGTGTTTCCCGCAGTCTCTTCCGCTTCCCGAGCAAGCCTCAGTGCATTCCTGGTAGAGTTGACGCTCTCTTGCTTCATGAATCTGGTTTGCTGTTTGATGCCTTCTACATCCTCATCATTCTCCTCCCCAGGAGAGGGTTCTTTGCCTAGCGCGGGGCCATCGAAGTATCGACCAGAACCTGTCTTTCCCTGAGGTTTGTATCCAGCGAACAATTCATTGCGGTTCCGATCTCCCTCGACATCAGGAGCTTTACCCGCAGTGGCACTATAAGCATCATAGTTGTCGTACGAATTCTGTGACTGAGTTCTGGTGCTCATGGCATTATAAGGATCGGGCCCATCGCGACTGGCAACGTAGGTACTGGCGGTGGACTTGTAGCTGGGGAGGGAAGACGTGCTTCGAGATGGACCTCGCGAACCATCTGATGTGGAAACCGCTGACTGGATGGGAGGAATCAAATTTTTCTCCTTACGCTTGAAGAACGACATTCCTTGAAATGCGAGGACAATATTAATGGACTCGGATGATGAAGGGAATCAGAGGTCGAGCACTGCTGCACAGGTGAACAGGTTTAACCAAACCGTAACCAAACCGTAAACTAATAATATAAATTGCCGGCCCGGGAGGTCCCGCTAGTGGCCTCTCTTCTCCAGACGCAATTCATTCCAAGTTTGCCATTAGATGTGGATTTCTAACAGTCAGGTATGTTTCTTGCTTTCGACTATATTCACCATCATCAACGCGACGAAGAACATGTCGGCGCCACAAGTACCGATCTATTGCACATGAATGAATGATCTTTCATCGATCATCTTTCTATCCGATGAGTTGTTTTTGTGTATGTAGTACTTTGCAAATATGCCAATAAAATAATCGATGTTCGTGTATTTTGCTTGGGTTCTCCCGGAAGCAAAATAGGATCCAGTTGAATTTCAAAGAAAACACCTTGAAAAGTTACCGTAAGTAATCTGCGACCGGGGTTAGGAAAACTAGTCTTATCCGATTTCAATGAACATACCAAAAATTAACTCGTTTTTTTGGAGGAGGTTTTTCCTGATTTCGTTTTGGCATACTTGTGAACGCTCTTGTCAAGGGCATCTCGCGTCTTCCTCCTTGCCTTTCTTTCTTTCGCACGTAGCGTTCGCTTTTCCGCGGGTGTAAGTTCGCTACGGGCGCGGAGATCAGAAGATGCTGTTTTGAAAACCTCTTCTGGAGCAAGCATAGAAGACACAGTTTTGCTCGTAGGAAGTGCTGATTCCAAAGTAGCTGCGGAAACGTTGGAGACTGTCGATATAGTAGCTTTCGGCTGTCGGAATTTCAGCGTCATGTCAACATAATGGTAGGGTCCAAAACACGTACCGCTTTTGGAGTGTAATGCGCGTTGCAAAGTGCATCTAGCTTGCTGCATATGCTATCCCAAAGTTTTGTAATTTCGTCGTGCTCCTTCTTGAGCCGACCATCTCTGTCGTCACCTCCCGTACCGCCGTTCTGTGCGACGACGTACTCATCCTCGTAGATTTGAGCAAGTGACTGGGAAGACTTGGTATCCTGGAGCTCAAAGAATCGTGACGGAAGGAAAGGTTTATCGTCGATAGCGCGAATCCGCACGACATCGTCAAATCGGCCATCCTTTATGCGAGCTTTTATTCGCTCTTCCAGACCTTGAACCACAGCTTCAGTGATGACGGGCACCGCTTTCATCGTTCGTTCAAACTCTAAATCTTCTTGCAGCAAAGAATCTTGAGGTCGAGATCTCGATGTGGCTTCCCCCATCAATACCCAGTCCTTCTTAGCAACATTCTCGGCCTCGAGCTCCTTGATCTGTGCTTGCAGTGCTGCCATACGTTTTTCATAAGTGGTCATATCTGCAGCCAGGTTGTGAATGAATGATACCGACAAGAATATGACTGTGGCCTTACTGGAATCTGGTTCATCTTCCTCCGCAAATAAGTCATCCTTCAGTCTTTCAATG